CCTAAAAAAGAATAAGGCATCTCTTCGAGGTCTGGTCCCTCATACAGTCGATTTTACTACCATGTATACTAATCTTTCTCATCAACGCATTCTTAACAATGTTGCTAACGCCGTTGATGCCGTTGACGAGGCACATGCCTACGCTCTTGCACAGGCACAGCAGCATGCACGGACACGTTATCCTGTCCTGTGTTGCACGAGGCACATGCCTACGCTCTTGCACAGGCACAGCAGCATCCACGGACACGTCATCCTGTCCTGTGTTGCTCTTCGTATGGCGGTCCGTGGATGGCCTTGTGCGTCATCAAGACGTCGGTATCCCTATGGGGACAAATGCTGGTCCTGAGATTGCTAATCTTACACTTTATTGGGATGAGGCGCAGTATGTGGACAGCCTGCAACGTGTGGATCCTTCTGCTGATCAACAATATGCTTTCACTTATCGTTTCATTGATGATGTCCTCACTTTCGGTTGCCTCCCGCCATCGCCAGCCTGTTATGGTCTGGAATGGAAGGAGACAACGGATCCTGATGGTTCTTGCACTTTCTTAGGTGCGAAGCTGCAGACACGCACAGATGGATCCCTCCGATTGAGTGCGTATGATAAGACTTGCATGGGGTTTCCCTGTTATATGATACCCTAGTGCAACGTCAAACATTCCATCTCATCAGCATGCAGGTGTGTTCACTGGCCAGCTTACGCGGTTTGAGCAGATTTGTGACAATTGGCATGATTTTAAAACGGCAGCAGCTTTGCTTGCCCGCCGTTTGCTTTCCCGTGGCCATGTTCCATCAACACTGGCTTGAGGATGGACTTGTTATGTTCGTGCTCGCCAGCGTCGGCAGGCTACACACGTGACGAGACTTACACAATGGTTTCGTCGCATGCTTGGTTGGTCCATGCATCATCCTCTTCCACCCTCTCCTCCCCTTGCTGCCCCTTCTTCTCCTTCCCCTCCCCCTTCTCCCCTTTCCTCTGTTCCATCTGCTCGTCCTTCTCCTCCCCCTCCCTCTTCCCCTCCGCCTCCTCCTTCTCCTCCTTCCTCTCCCCCTCCTTCCCCTCGCCCTCCCCCTCCCCCTCTCCCTGTCCCTCCTCTCCCCCTCCCTCTCCTTCTTCTTCTTTTTCCTCTTCTTCTTCTTCTTCCTCCTACTTCTTCTTCTTCCTCTTCTTCTTCACCGGGTCGCGGGGAAAACAGAGTACCCGTGCTGGGGTGGGGTTAAGTACTCATCTTGGGGCTTAACTTTCACCCCAGTCCACTTAGCCGTTTGGTTGAGTGTTTGCCTCTTAACGTGGAGGTCACGTGTTCGATCCTTGGATCGGTGCGGACGGACAGATTGCTGTCTGGAGTAAGCTTCACTTCTTTTCACTTCTTTTTCTTCTTCTTCTTCTTCTTCTTCTTCTTCTTCTTCAATACCCTAGCATGCTTTGCTAAGGCACCATCGTTCTCAGGGAGCCTTGGTTGAGGCTGCTCGAGAACCTGGTACAATGGGTTATAGCACGCGAAAAATTTAGTGGCGGCGGCTCTGCTTACGGGATAGTATGTCTGGTTTACTGCTCAGTAAGAGTTTTTGCGTAGGCAGCTACTACCGTCAGAATAGAGGTTAGCTCGTATTTTCCTTTCCTTTACTAGCGGTAGGATGGCCCTCTGTAATTTATTTTCGTTTTTGCCCTAGGAATTACGTGGCATTGCCACCCCGCTGCCAGAAAGGCAGCCCAGGTACGATACTACCCGATTACCCGCACATTTCCAAAAGAGCGGGGAGTTTCGAATTAGTACAGGTCACGCGTCGGATTTTGAAAGCACAGGTCATTTGCGGACGCACGTGTAACTGACTGGACCGAGCTGCCTCGTACCAAGTTAGTAGGTGGGGATCCGCGACGCACGGATTAGCCCAATGGGAAATTAGAACGGAGGAGGGAGTGGACTAATGGGAGCTCGTTGATAAGTGAAAGAAAGCTTGAAGGAGAGACTTGATCGTTTGGAAGGACCGGGGACAGGGAAAGAGACGTTAGTCACTGCATGGTACGCCGACACGTGAACATGCGGGGAAAGCTGGCCTGCAGCCTGCAGGCTCAGTCATCGCGCTGGCAGTTCAGACACGTAACGGACACTAGCGTTCGTCGCAACGTCTATGTGGCAGTCCAGCCGTAGCCGTAGTAGCTCGTGGAAGTGCCCGTTAGGGGTGGAAGTACGGTGGTGACGAAGCATCTCACTTGGCGTTCAGTATATAGGAGGGCAAGGCTTGATCGGCCCTCAGTTCTCAGAAGGAAGGTGTGATCGGTGGGCCGCAAGGCGAGGGTGTGTGGAAAGCCCCCTGAGGATGATCGGAGTGCAACCGATCGAAACGCGTCGGGGATTGTGCGCGTGTGCTGAGATGAGTATGCACTGTTATGTATTGATGAGCATTCGAAGCGTGTACGAAAGGCAGTTGGCCACTGTTTTCACTATTCCTCTTCTTCTTCTTCTTCTTCTTCTTCTTATCAACACCGTCGACCGAGATCAGCTCTTCCCTTATCTTCGTTGTCTATATTAGGACGGTGGCAGGCTCGTTCATTCTCCCCTCCTCCTAGTCTCCCTTCCTCTCGGCGTCGTATTGACCTTAAGCTGCCTGGTTCCTTGTCTGACCGACAACCTGCTTTGGTACGTTGATGGCGTTCGTCAATTAAACGCCGACCGTGCCAAATCAGACCGGGCCTTCCAGTGGTGACCGATTCGATTTGCGAGCAGATCTACCCAACATTTGTGGCCTGACAGCCATGAATGTTTGTCTGCGAGCTTATCAGCGTCAACGTTATACTGTGTATCTCAATTTCTTACAATTGCTTATCAGCTTGACGCTGTTGAAAATGAGTTGTTGTATGACCATAATGGTCTACCCCCTGAGGATAGTAATTATGCTACCTCAGGAGGCTTTACTATAAATGTCTTACAGTTAGCATTTCACGGTTGCCACCTTCTCATGCATTATGGGACGCCAGGCGAGGACCTTAATGCCCGTCCTCATATTTCTGCATGCATTTTGCACAAACCCGGGCACTGTATGGCACTCATTCGTGCAGCTGCCCAGTGGGAACTGTGGGATGGTGGGACGGTGATTCAGGTTATTGTCAACATAAATGAATTCTTGCGAGGTTTGTTGAATCATACACTGTTCTGGATTGTTGAGCTCTCTCGTGCGACATTTGTCGGGATAGGGACGTGGTGCGTCTTGGTTGTGGAATGCATTATCTGTGTCAGCACCATTATCAATCCATTGCGACTGCCACCGTATGTGCGGAAGGGTGTCTAACATTTCCTCATTGTGCACATCCCTATCACCCAGATGTACGTTGTCCTTTCTGTTCCCAAGGACGCTATCAGAACTGCATGATGCCGCACTGTGATGAACGTCCTGCTGTTTTCTTGACATGTGGGCAACATGTCCTCTGTCGGGATTGTTTCAATGGGATGGTTCGTGCTAGCTGTCCGGCTGAATGCTGTACTAGCGCAACTCTCCTTGAGTATCCCTGTGAACATCCCCGTCATCGTCACCGTAGTTGTCCTATCTGCCGAGGGGGTGACAGATGAAGTGTAGAAGAAACAGATAAAAAAAGAAACCGAGTAAAAAGATAAAAAATAAACAAATAAAAAAAGAAACCAAGGAAGGAAAAACACAAAAAAAGAAACCTGAGAAAAAAGAAAAAAGAAAAAAGAAAAGTATGTTCTGTGGATGATCTGTGGGATGGTAATTGGATTATCTGTGCGATGTGTCACTTGCTTCGTCTGTTTAATAGGCTTTCTTCTTCTGTGAGGTTTGGTTTCCTCCGCCTTTTCTTCTGTGGGCCGGCGTGTGAGTGCGGACAATCGTGGGAAGAGAGGGAAAGAGGAGAACAAGCGAGGGGCTGTGACAGACTGTTTTGTCGGAGTTTCACCGACTCATCAGGAGGCTGAACGCTATGCTCTACAGATTGTCATTGTGTGTGCTTGGGGAGTGTGAACTGCAACTGCATTATGTGCTGTAATCGGCGGCGGATCTTTGATCCGTATTGCCTTGAAGATAAAAAAAGAAGGGAAAAAAAAAACAAGAAAACTAAAATATCCATTACCCTTATCTAGATACGCTTCCGCTTGGACAAATGAAGATTTCACGATTTTTGAATAAAATATCACAATACAGACAAATGAAGATTTCACGACATCTGTGCAGCAGCTTTGGAATCCCTCCCCTTTCTTCCCCCTTGAACAAAGCACAGCAACCCGAATGTAATATTATGACAATGGGCCTCGCTCCACTACTCTCAACACGCACGAAAGACAAAAATCATGGCCGTGAATCTTGCCATGTTGTAGCGGAAGATTCATTCTTCCTCTGGTTCAAAGCACAGCAACCCGAATGTAATATTATGACTCCGAATGTGCAAAATGAGAATGAATCATCCGCTAGAACATGGAAAGATACACCGCCATTTTTTTTGTCTTTTGTGCGTCTGGAGAGTAGTGCAGCGAGGCCCAATGTCTTCTATCATTTCGCTTCCGACTATTCTTTGTATCTGTCAGCTGTCTTTTATCATCTCGCTTCCAACTATTCTTTGTAACTGTCAGCTGTCTTTTTTTTTCTTTTGTGTGTGTTCTTAAATTTGAAGTGCTTTTCATACACATGGCTGGTGGCTGGGGAACCGGCACAACATCCCGCACGACGTACAGGTACAGGTGTCACGTTGCAGGCGACCGGGTCCCTCTTCATCAAAGGCACAATGCGGAGTTGTCGACTCGTTGCGCAGACTTGCAGTCCATCCTTTTCTTTCTCTTCCTTCTCTTTTTCCCTTTTCTTTTCTCTTTTTTTTTTGTCTTTCCTTTTTTTCTGTTTTCGTCTTTCTTCCGGCAAGAACAAAAAATAAAAATGCTATTCATACGACTGCATGGCGAGGTTTTCAGAAAAACAAAACAACTGCTGACTCGATTTTGCTGCTTCTGCTGCAGCGTGTTGTAGGTCCAGATACGGCTGTTGCTGCTGTGGGCGTCACAGGTGTGCAGCTGCAACTGGTGCAGGTGACGTATTCTGTGTGTGTGTGTGTGTGTGTGTGTGTGTGTGTGTGTGTGTGTGTGTGTGTGTGATATCATGTTGGCTGTACACAACTCCAAAGGAAAAGACAGGATGACTGTGTCAGACTCTCTTATCAGACTTTCAACAACTCGTTATTTTATGTGTCATCACGACAGCCACTTTTCCACCCAGATGAGTAGATTGAAAATCGAAACAGTTTCACCTCTACAGCAGACTCTGAAGCACGTTGAAGCACATTAAAAATGAGCAAATCCGACTCTGAAACAGTATTGCCGCTGTAGTACAACATGAAGCATAATAAATCTGTCCGTATGTGTGTGTGTGTGTGTGTGTGTGTGTGTGTGTGTGTGTGTGTTGGCTTCTCAGAACTTGTTACGTGCCCAGTTGGGCAATGTATACAATAACCGATGATCCGCAATGTGATGGAAAGGACTGAATGGACAATGCAGTGCAGGTAGAATCTCAACAAGCAATGTGCATTCCAATACATACAAAATGATGCTGAATAGCGCAGGGAAGACTTAGATACAAATCCTGACCCGACCGGGACTGACCTCATTCATGTAGTACAAGCTAGCGAAGCAGAATGCTAAAATGCCAATGACTAGCCCAATCAATGTTTGAACGCAGACCAAACATGCATTGTATGCATCACAATCTGTGAAGGAGCCTGGCGCTATACACAGGAAAGAGGCGCCAGGTCCAGACATACACAGACGAAGAGGAGGGGATCAGACGAAGAAGAGGAAGGCGGAGATGGGAAAGTCGTCACCACCAAGTCTCGTTTCAAATCCCAAATAATCCCCCTTCGATATGTCTGAAGTCCAATGTCGAGTCTGGATCCAAATGTCACCAAGCTCTCTCTCTCTCTCTCATAGTCTGCTGATGCAGTGAAGCCAGATATAGAGAGGGTGAGAGGGAGATGGTGGACTGAGAAGAGGAAGAAGAACTCTCTCTCTCTCTTGTATGCCAGGTACTAACCTGTGAAGATGGCGCTGTGCTGCAGGTACCTCGGAGATGAAGCTGGATCAACGGTGCTGCAGGTAAGTATCCCTGGCCTCCGCCCAATCTTTCTCTCTCTCTAGTGCTACTCTAGCTATGGGCGCTGAAGACTACTGCTAACGCTACAAAGCGCCCAGCGCTGAAGACTACTGCCAGCGCTCCTCCAGAGTGCTGCTGCCGAATCCTGAAGACTACTTGCTGCCTGTAGGGCGGGCCAGTCTTATATAGTGCTGGCCCGTCCAGGAGGCTGCTCTTGCCAATGCCCAAACGTGCTAGGCCCTGAGGAAGCTTCCGGAAAGTGTCCAGGTAGCTTCTGGCTAAAGCCTGAGGAAGCTTCCGGGAAGTTTCCAGGTAGCTTCTGGCTAAACCCTGAGGAAGCTTCCGGGAAGCTTCCAGGTAGCTTCTGGCTGAAGCCTGAGCGCCTATAGGCCCTTGTTTTCAGGCTGTCAGGCTGCAACGACACGGGGCCTGTAGGCCCTGGTTTTCAGGCTGTCAGGCTGAAACAGGCCCGGGGCCTGTAGGCCCTGGTTTTCAGGCTGTCAGGCTGAAACAGCCACGGGGCCTGTAGGCCCTGGTTTTCAGGCT